GCCGGTGAAGTATAAGTGGACCTGCAGGAATTAAGTCCCGGACTATCTGGGAAGTTGATAGGGATTAAGTGGACCCATCAGGACGCTGATGGGGTATATAGGTGACCTCCTTAGGACACCAGTAGGGTAATTTGTAAAATCTTTTGAATTATGCACTGCCGTTAAAATGTTATATGCATTTCAATTATTCGGATTATACTTAATTATGTATTTTTTAAAGTGAAACTGTTAATGCATTTCTGTCAATAGATCTCCTTTTTGAAAATATTGATATCTTTTAACCATGATTATTTTTAGGATTATGATGATCACTTACTGAGTAGCCAAACTCATCAAATTATAGTAAACATTTTTTCAAGATAACTGCGATTTCATTTTGAGTGCTCGTCAGGATCAACTCTGGAAGATATTGTAGTTGTGGTTAAACTTTCTTTTGTTACTTTGTAAGAATTCGTCACTGTAAATTTGTCATATCAAGAGATGTATATATGTTTTGACTGTCACATCTAAGGAATATCAGTATTGTAAATCTTGGGGCGTGACAGGTTATGAAAAAGAATATTGTGTATGAATGTGAAAAAGAGAATGTAAAAGTGTTTCCATTTATCAAAAGAAGATCATATGATTCTTATAATGCAATTTTTAGGAATTGGGTTTGGGTATGAGTGGTTAGCAGTTACGTCCAGCAATAGTACATCTCATGTTCGATTCCTATCACTGAGCTACCCAGAAAAAAAATTAAAAAAAATAAACTTGTTTGGAGAGTGGCTATTACTCTTTGCTAATAAGCTTCTTCCGAGAATTTTCAAAAGCCTAGTTTTCTCTCACATGGGCCATGGGTTGAAGGCATCATGTAACCCTAAGTAGGGAATAAGGGTGGCATTGGACCCGGACCCAACCTGGGACTTGAGGGGTAGACCCGATTCAGGTCTAGGCATGGGTCCAAAAATCGGAACCGACGGGTCGGCCAAGTGCAAATTTTGGACCCGAACAATATTTGGGTCCCGGTCCAGTATTTTTCAAGTCCCAATATATAAAATATATCTAAATATACTTAAATACATAGATATTTTAATTTTTAGTTAGATTTGATCGGCACTGGATCCTAATCCCACATCATATTTTCAGGTCTAGGCCCGGCCGGATCCGACTAGTTGCCACCCTTAGTAGGGAAGCACCGGAGAAATAAACCGCTTTTCACGGAAATGGGCAGTTAGGGTTACATTGAATTCTATTTCCTTGGAGCTCAAATGAAGAGAACGTTCCTGTAGTAACGTACGTGTGCTTGCTTCTATATGTCTACATTCGTTTATACAGTTGCATGTGTATGCACATGCGTAGATACAGCAATGTACGTTGTTGTTCGTGAAATACACAAACGTGTGTGCATTTTTGTCCAAAAAATATTCATGTATGCATGCAAGATATGCATGGATGCACATAAAACCCTAAAACATCGTGTCATGGTTGCCTGTGTAAGAATTATGCCATGCCAAGAAGTGGAAGCTGTTGGGATTCCTCATATTTCACCGAATCCTATTAGGGTGAATGGCAAGTTCATCCTACTACTATTCCCTTATTATATTAGGAAAAAGTATAGATTGTCCCTCATTCTACTTTCTAGGCATTGCCCCCAACCCCTATATTTTTTTTATGATCATTGATCCCACCTTATGTATGCTTCGTAAATCACACCATAAACCCCAAAACTATTTATTTTTGTAATCACAACTCCCCTCCCAAAAAAATACAAGAAACAAATATCCCTAATAAATGCATATTTTTATGAAGAAAAAAAAAAAAATCAATCCAGTATGTTAAACTGACTTTATTTTAAAAAATATGTCGGTCCGACACATTGTACAGAAACAACTTCATTTAAATATTGTATCGGGCCGACATATTGTGTTGGAACAACTTTATTTCCCACAATGTACCAGTCATGCATAATACTTCATTTTAAACAATGTGCTAGTCCATTGCGCAGGACCAACTTCATTTTTAAAAATAAAGTTAGTCTGGCATAAATTGTGCCAACGAGACACATTGTTTAAAATAAAGCCAATTTGACATACATTGTGTCGGACTGTCATCATTTTTTTAATAAACAACAGCGGGTGAGAGAAATGTATGTTATAAGGGGGCATTTTTGTCCTAAAAAATACTATTAGATTTGGAGAGCAATTGTAAAAATAAAGAACTTAGAGTTAGCGGTGTGGTTTAGTAGGGCCAAGGGATACCGTAATTTTCCCTGAGGCATTTGGAAAAGCATTTCATGCATATCAAGCATGTCTGGAGGAATGCACTCATTTAAAAACTCGCAGCGTACCCTACTTGTTTCCTTTTCCAATTTCTTCTTGCTACAAAGAAGGTGAGAGCAATAAGTATGAGAGAATTTCCAAGGCCTCATATGAATGGAAAGCATGCCAAGAAGAAAAATATTATGGTGAATGTTGGGGCAAGCATGGCACAATATTACTATTATACGCAAATGATAACGGTAATGAGAAGTTATTCTAGATAAAAGACACCTATACAATAAAGTTTGATACCGTATACTACTTGATCATTTACCTTGGTATAAGGAGGTCACAACCACTCATAGTTTCAGACGTGAAATCCGATAGCTTGAAGTATGCAGCAAAGTTTGAAATTTACCTTTTCCAAATTTGAATCCGGTTTATGGGACACTCTCAGCTGGCAATTTTATATCCATCAAGGCATAGTGAATCTTACGGTTATGTATCAAAGGTAAATAGTCTTATAATGTGCTTCTCCACAAAATATTTAGGGGTCTGTCCCTTTTTTATCGTCTCTCTACAAAAGATGCTGGGAAACGAACTGTTGTGAACGATGTTTCTTATCTTCATAGAGATGTGATGGATGCGTCAATCCTCTTCACTCTTTGGCCACTTCATAACAAAAAAACTTTAACATATTGCAAGAATCCTTCAAACACATGCATAAAGAGATAGTAAGAAACACACCAAAGCTAGTACCAAATGTAAACCTATCTAGAAAATATATATAAAACAAGCTTCACATGACAAGAAACGTTAGAAACCTCCTCTAGGATAAGCTTTATTTCTACTTCTAGCTTAAATCCCAATGAAAATTGATCAAGAGAAGTAGTGTAATCAAGTTTGTCAACAAAACAATGCTCTTTCTGGTAGGTATTAATTCTAACCAAAAATTCAAATGACTTCTCCTATGATATTCTCAAAGTACCACTAGGAATACTCAACTTTTCCGTAAAAATTGATGGCCTTTCTTTCCTTATCTTGAAGACATCAAGGAAAAAAGAGTTCCCCTACTCGAGAAAAAAGCCAACCTACAAATACACTAGGCCCATCCCCATCTATGTGATTGTGACAAGTTTAATGGCCTCCGACTATATATGAACTTGCAAAACAATAACCAAGTATTTTGTATTTGCAATATAGTCTAAACTTACTCAAAATGGAGTGTCATCACCTACTTGTATCCTAGGCCCATCCAAAAAGGAGTGTCATTGCTCAATAGCCACAAAATCACTAGTGTCTGCCCATATTTGCAAAACCTATAGCATGTATTTGCCATAAGTTATTGACCCATCCCCAAAGAAGTGTCAATGTTGAGTCATCCACACAATTGTGACAAATTCCATAAGACCTTGCCACCATATTTCAAGCACCAATGACCCATGCAACACGATATTTAATAAATCCATCCTGCCAAGATATTTTTTAGGCTGTTCAGTGGGGATGAGATTTTTTTTACATACAGTAGAAATAGAACTTAAGAGTCAAGACGCCATATTATGGCGACCCACCACCCTAAATACCTATCCTTAAGCCCGTTCCTATCCTGTCAAGAGTTAAAAAGATTTAAGCTAGAACTCATATTTTTGTTACCCTAAGTAAAATATAAGAAGTTCCAAGAAATGATGGGCTCACACTCGCGTATGTAGTGCCCAACCAATTATTTATTGCACTTGTTTGAAAGCTTCCACTTTGCCATGATGGCCTTCAAAATCCACAAGACCCACAATGTTGATGTTTAACTGGTAATGTCCAAATCGGACACGTATTGATAATGAACAAGTAAAGGTCCAATGTAGGTTGCAAAAAAGGGAGTGGAAATCCTAGAATCCCTAATTGCACTACAACGAGAAGCATGCACATTCATTACTCTAGCTAGAGGACATCAAAGTGTATTACTCACTAAAGATAAAAGACAAACTAGTAAGCATTGAATTAGAAAAAGAAGAATTGCAACAATATATATGTCAAGATGCAAAAGCTGCATCCAATATGTCTAAAGAGAATGGAGAAAAACAAAGAGAAAATGTAAAGATTAAAGATAAAAAGAGTAAAACCAAAAGGGTTCAAACACTAAATAACTGAATTCAACAAGGAGAACACCTCGAAGATTGATTTTGTAGACGATTAGGCAGGGAAAGGCATGGATTTGTTCTCGAAGTCAAAAGTAATCCACCATTAAATTAGTACTGTCAAGAGAAAATTGCGAAGCCGAGGATCCGATACATACCCAATAGGCTATGTTACATGGGTACATGTAGAGTGCCTGTTCCAAGAAGAAAGAAAAGAGAAAAGAAAGATATAACATAGCCCAAAAAAACCATTCACCCTATGTGCTCAAAGAAAGAAAGAGAGAGCTATAGCATAGCTCAGTAAAAAAGATAGAAAAGAAAGAAAGCTATAACTTTGCTCAAAAAGCTATATAACATATGTGCTGAGAAAAGGGCAACTACCCTACAATAGCCTCGAAAGCCCTCATGTATCTTTCCTCATGTCAGAGGGCACAATATCCTGCAACAGTCCGTGGTCCCTCAACTGGGCCTGTATGTTCTGCGTGGTAGTGGTACCAGAGATGGTAGGATTGCAAAAGCGGCTCAAAATGTTAGGAAAAGGAGATGGAAAAGGGAGAGAAGAGAAGGCCTGGTTCATATAGATGCTAGAGTGAGAAGCTGAAGTATTATTAGGATCTTGAGAGGCTCGTTGCACCATCATTTGCATCGGAAATGCCCCGAAACCGGACTCCAGGGTTGCAGCCATAGACATAGACGATGAAGAGGAAGATCCAGAAGAGGACGGGGCTCCACCTCCTCCACGCAGAGATGCGGGGCTCTGGTGCGTATGCTGGCCCTCGTAGGTCGTGATCACGGTCGATGGGTCCTCGAACGATCGCTCCACCCGCTTCTTCACCCCACATTTCGGGCTAGTGCACCTGTAGTAGCTCCTGTAGGAAAAACAAATAAACTTTATCTTAGTTGAGGAAAACATTTCCAAATTGTTTAATTAGTCTAAATAATAAATGCATATACATTGGCATGTGCAGCATGAAGGATGCCCTAAAACCTTTTTGGTGAATATAATCAAATCATGGATCTTAACCTTACTATTTTTAACTATTTAGCCATTTAAGATAAGGTTAGGCAAGACCATATCACTATGATCCCAATACTGGTAGGCTGTACCATCAATCTACTGTACAAGAAAAGCCCATTAATTACAATTAGTAACATTGGTGGACTGTACCATCAAACCCGTAGTTATAATATATAACAATTTATAACTAAACAAATAGCAACCGTTAATCAAAAGAATGTAGGATAGCAAGGTTTTACATTACCTCACGTATCCATAAGTTCAAATGTGTTATAAAAAAGACCTTATTCTTATGCGCGTTATAATGCATGAGAAAGAGAGAGCCACAAAACAAAAAGAGACGTCCTAAAATGAATTGTTAAGAGTCTAAACCTGATCTCCATTTGATAATCTTACTCAATTTTCATATTCAGAGATCTCCGAAACTCGAATCAATGATTGATAATGTGAGCGAACACAAATTTTGCAGAATTAACATTAAGGGGTATGATTGGGATCGGCTTAATATCCATTATCAGTGACAGAAAACTCAGTTCCAAATGGGACACCGATATAATTCACAAGTGGTTCCTGAGAAAACCCTAAGATCCATGACGAATTGGAGCTCGAATCAATACCCAAAACCATAGGTCTGTATCGTAATACGAAACTAATCTGATGGAGATTGATGGGATTGCATGATAATTCTCAAACACAAAATTAAGAGAGTGAAATTAGAAAGACAAAAGTCTAGATTAACACAAACCCAAAACTCAGTCCTGATAATGCAAACCCTTGGCTCTAATTATAGCCCACTGTTTTGGAAAAATAACCAGAAAAAACCCATGTTAATGAGATTAAAAGGGTCTAGATACTATGCATGAACTGAAAAGAATAATCAGTGTTTTTCTAATACCAAAACAATAAAGAATCCCAGTTTAAGATAAGGTTTTTGAACCACCAATATAGAAGAATCGGAACGCATGACCAGGAAAAGTAATATTAAATTACAAAATTTGTGGACTAAGGATATTTGATCGAACAAAAACAATAAAAACCCACAAATAATATCGGTCAAGCATGCAGCATAACATCACCATATTCAAATGGAAAAAACCCCAAAATTCAAAAAGCAAAAGAATCCAAAGTTTTTCATGAAATGATAGACAGTTTCCTTGTCTTAGGGTTTAAAGTCAGACCTTGGATAAGGGCTATTCTTCACTGCCTTCTGGCCATATTTTCTCCATCTGTAGCCATCTTCCAAGTGATCCACTTCACTCTTTGTCATGAAAGCAACCCTTGGTTCTCTCTGCCTCTTTTGAGTCTTCTTCTTCGGCTTCGAGCTGAAATTCACCCGGAAAATTCATCACAAAGAACCCACAAATACAAAAACCCAAATGTTATTCACAACAAAAACAAAAAGCCAACTGTTACTTATACCACTTAAACACTACTTTCATCCAGGGAAATCACAAAATGTTCATAATAAATAACCACAGAGAAGTGAACATAACAATGATAATAATCACGCGCTTACACTTTCTTAACCTTCTCTTGCTCGTCCTTGATATTTCGTGATGCACCATCATCTTCATTTGCCTCAGTCGAAGAAGAAGAGATCGAGGAGTTGGGGGTCGCAGGGAGGTTACTATTTTCAGGTGGGTCACCGGAATTTAGAGAAGGGATTGGAAATTCCGGCAGCAAAGGGGGTGCAAAGTCCATGAAAGGAGAGGAAAAGTCGTGTATTCCCAATAGCTCAGTGAAGGTTGAGCTTTCAAAGTCTCCTCCAAATGCAGATTCCGACAAAACACTCGCCGGGTTTCGGCGATTTCCGGCGAGTGGATTGGCTTCTTCTTCTTCCATGGCTGGGAGGGTGAGAAATGGAGAGAGAGAGAGAGAGAGAGGACGGCTAGTGGGTGAACGAAAAAAGGACTGCTACTAATTTCTTATTTCGTTTCGTTAAA